GATCCGCCTGGCTCTGCCTCCCGAGTGCTGGGATTAAAGGCGTGCGCCACCACCGCCCGGCTTATTACCCACTTCTTAATTGGCAGTTTGTATATTTTGATGTCCAATTCCTGCAGTTTTTTATATTTTCTAAATATTAACTCTTTATCTGAAGTGTAGCTGGTGAGGATGTTCTGTAAGCATATATAGGCTACCTGCTTGCTCTGATGATAGTTTATCTTGCTGTGAAGAAACATTTAAAAAATTATTTACTTATTTATTTTCTGTATATAGATGCTTTGTCTGCTTGTACACGTGCATACCAGAAGAGGGCACTGGGTTTCATTATAGATCAGATGGTTGTGAGCTGCCATGCCAGTGTTGGGAATTGAACTTGGGACCTCTGGAAGAACAGACATTTCTCTTAACCTCTGAGCCATTTCTCCAGTCCCATGAAGAAACATTTTGATTTCACATAACTTTGTCAGTTCTTGAAGCATAATCGTATGCTATTTGGAGTTCTATTTAGAAAGTTCTTGCCTATAACTTGAAACTGCTAGGGGAAACATTTCAGGATGTAAGTATAGGTCTTATAGGTGTTTCAAATCTGAGGCTCTCTGATCCATTTTCAGTTGACTTTCACACAAGATCAGAGAGAGAGAGAGTCATTTTTTGCAGGTGGACATCTAATTTTGCCAGCATCATTTATTTGAGCAGGCTTTTCCCAGGGCATAGTTTTGAAATCTTTGTTAAAAGTTAGGTGTTCACACCACATTGGTTTTTTTTTTTTTATGACTTCTATTATCTTCCATTGGTCTAAATGTGTATTTATACATCAATGTCTTTGTCACTATGGCTCTGTCGTAAAGTCTAAGGACAGGTAATGTGTTGCTGCTGCTGTTGTGTTCTTTCTGCTTAGGATTGCCTTGGCTACATGTGACCTTTGGTATTTCTGTGTGAATTTTGCATTTTTTCCTAGATCTTATGTCATTGAAATTGATGAGATTCCTAGATAGATTTTATTTGAAACTATTCTGAATGGGATGTTTTCCCTAATTTACTTATTTAAAATGTTTTTAAAATACATTTTGATCATATTCTTCTTTCCCCTCCCCAAACTCCTTTCAACTCTTCCCTACTGCCACACCCACCCAATCTCTCTCTCTCCCTTTTCTCTCTCTACCCGCTTCAAAAGCCACATAAATAAAAAAGCCAAATGTCAACACATAAACAAAAACAATATGTAAAACAGTACCAAGGCAAAACAAGAGGTGCGCGCGCACACACTCACACACACACACACACACACACACACACACACACACACACACACATCCATGGAGTCTGCTTTGTGTTGGCCAACTACTCTTTGATATGGGATCTGCCTTGGAGTGTGATTGATATACCTAGTGATACTCCATTGGAGAAAATTGATTTTCTCTTTTCTGGCAGATATCAATTTCAAATAGCTTCTTGGTTAGGAGTAGAACTTAGTGTCCACTTCCCCTTCCGAGTGCTGTGATTTTGTCTGGTTTGAACTTGCTCAGGTCTTCTGTGTGTTGATACAGCTCTGTGAGTTCAAACATGCATTGTCCCTGTTGTGTCTTGGAGTTGTCCACCACCTCTGCCTTTTACCAATCTTTCTGCCTCCTCTTCAGAATGGACCCCTTAGTCTTGAGGGGAGGTATTTGATGAAGACATTCTTTTTTGGCCAAGTGCTCCAAGATCTCTCAGGGGCTGCACATCATCCAATTTTGGATCTGTATCTCCATGTTTATTACTATCTACTGCAAGAAGACGCTTCTGTGATGAGAGCTGATCAAAACATTGATATATAGGTATAACAATATGTATGTCATTAAAAGTTATTAATTAAGGGTCCTGTGCTGTTGTTCCCTTAGGGGGAGGGGGCCAAGCAGGCACAGAGTCAATGACACAGACTCTGGGAGAATGTTGAAACAACAAGCTCAGTTTATTCAGGAAGAGGTAAGCCTTATATACCCTCCACCCCACCCTGGGGAAGGTCTGATGAATATGCATCTGCTGGTGTGACATGGCTGCCTCTCATTGGTCCAGGTCATCTCTAGATCATGTCTCAGCTGCTGTTGCTAAGGCCCTTAGGCAGACCCAAGTTTGGTCTCAGAAAGTATCTGTTTTACCGGTTTGGGCCGGCTGGCCCTCAAGCCTGTTACAGATGAGTCATCCCACATTATTTTATTCAGCAGAATAATAGTAGATTTTCCTCTAGCATCAATGACCTATCTAGTCTATCTGAGGTTCTTGTCCTCATCAACAGTTTCAGGTGTGGGTTCTATCTCATGGAGTGAGTCTTAAGTCCAATCGAAAAGTGGTTGATTATTCTCATAATGTTTGTGTCAGTATCACACCAGTATATCCTGCAGGCAGGTTGCTGAAGTAGGCCCTAGTGTTTGTAGCTGGGTGATATTGATGGCTACTTTTCTCTCATAGTGTGCAAAATGTCTTTGAGCATCATGAATGCTGATTAGTAGGTAGAGATGCTTCTAGTTGGGTACCAGTTCAACTTCTCTCTGATGACATAAGCAAGTGGTGTCTTCAATTATAGGGTTTCATCATCAGGAAGGTAATCAATGAGATCTATAGAACCTTTTTTGTGCATTGACTCAACAAGATGTAATCACTCCTAGCAATGGAGGTTTTACTTGGTGGAATAAGATGTTGAATTGGGGCATTGTTTCCCCCACTAAATAGTGATTCTATTTAAATTCTTCCCATATATGTATGTATTTTAGGAACCTTCTACTGTGTTAGGCTTTCATATGACTTTTCAAAAACTAATTCTAATTAACTGTTAAAAATATTTGTTTACTTCTTTATTTACATGTATATATATGTCACTATATGAACTTATGTCTACCATGTGCATTCAGGTGCCTGAGGAGGTCAGAAAAGGAATTTAGATACCATGGAACTGGATTTATAGGCAATTGTGAGCTGCCTGATGTGGGTACTTGAACCAAACTCAGATCCTCTGCAAAAAAAAGTAAGTCCTTTTAATTACAGAGCTATCTTTACAGCCCCTTAATTTTTTTTCTCGGCAAGTTTGTTACTGGTATATATAAAAGCTTCTAATTTTTACACGTTCATTTTATATCTTTCATCTGTACTGAAAGCATTTATTGGATCTAAAAATTTTCTGGTGTAGTCTGTGGATTCTGTTAAGCAAACACTCGTGTTGTCTTCAGATAGTGATACTGTAGCTTCTTCTCTAATTTTTATCTGGTTTACAGGTTTCTCTTGTCTTACTGTTCTAGCTAACACTTACTTAGAGCAGTATGTTGAGTAAGAATACAGTGAGTAGCAGCGTGTGGTGGCCCATGCCTTTAATCCCAGTGAAGGTAGATGGATCTCTGTGAGTGTGAGGCCAGCCTGGTCTATGCAGTGAGTTTCAGGAAAGCCAAAGGTACATAATAGAGAGACGCTGTCTCAAAAACAAAACAAAACACCAGTGAGTAGACATTGTCTCACTCTGCCTTTTAATAGAAATGCTTTGCA